ATTTGGAATTTTCTATGTTTTTTATAAGTAAGGGTATTATAGTATTTATACATTGAAAATTTTAATTTAGTCTTGCACAAATGGAATTAGTCTTGCATATAGCCGCAGCCTATGTTAAATTACAGTCACCATAAAGTTAAATTAAGAAAAAACATCTCATGTCTGGGTAATTATAACCACCCGTCTCAACTATGAATTTTCTTACACAAATTCAACAGAATCTTCTAGATTTTGTGGAATGTTCTCTGTTTTGTACTCGTTCTGTGCAAAAATGAAGTTTCTGATGCACCACAACCTGATATTTACAAGCCAAAAGATACATCTTATGATCATGTTAGAAGTTCTGTTCAAAAGAATGTGGAGCTCGAATGATGTAAAACGGGGTACAAACTGAAGAATATTCTACTTAACATAAAAGATTCCACTAACACGCTGCAAAAATTGACATGTAATAACTAATAAGATACATATTTGAGAGGTGGTTATAATTGCTCAAACATATGAGTTTCGGTGACCATAAGTTATCCTTAAAATATCTACTTAATATTCATTTTTCTACTCTTAAATTGTACTTATTCTACATGGTATGGGTAGAATAAACTAAACGTAAATGTGCCCCCGTAAACAGTGGGCCAAATCGGTTGAGCAAGAAAGTGCAGTGTCGTTTGACTTAAGTTGGTTGAGCAAGAAAGTGCAGAGTCGTTTGACTTAAGTTCGAACTTTTCAACATTGTTTAAATCGAACTCATCACATGACTACAAGTAACATAAAATTGAGTCAAAAACTTGCATCCACTGAATTCCTAATTGTGCACAGCCACAACTTGTATAAATATACCAATGAAACCTTTCTCTACTATTTGAGATTATTACAGAAAATACTGCTGTATAAACACAACCAAACTTCGATGTTTTCATCCAAATCACAATATTTAAAAAAAAAAAAAAAAATCAATAATGAAATAGAAGAAGAAATCAAGCAATAGTAAACCACATAAACACCACCACTTTCGAATAATATTACAAAGGGCCACGCAATTTCTGCCGAATGTTTTTTTTTTTCCGAAAAACATCTCTAGCCAATGGCGTTGCGTCTTCTAGAAGCTTCTAGAATCGGACAACGATGCACGAGATATCATCCTTACTCTCTCTGTTCACTGCTTCCATAGCTAGTTGCTTGGCTGCTTTCTGAGGATCTTTTATCTTATTCACAAAATCTACAGCTTCTTGATTCGACATTACCTGCATACGATAATTTACGATTATAAAAAAATAAAAATAAAAAACTAGAAAAATAATATATATTCAAATATATATATCTCTATATATATAGGGATGAGGAATAAAACCTTCCATATACCGTCACTAGCAAGAATCAAGAGTTCAGTATCTTCACGAATCTCGGCACTTCTAACATCGGGATCCGACCGCAAGTGCGACTTCAAGTTCTTATCTCCAAAAGCACGAGAAACGGCTAATTGACCGTTCACTCTCGCTACATCTCCTGGCAATTAAAAAAAGACGAAGATTTCAATTGTTAAAATTACGGAAAATAAAATCTAGACTCGAGTCACTAAACACCACATTAAAGAAATAGCGACCGAATTAATTCTGGCTCATAATAAATCATCATTAAAGTTAAATCGGGGAAACTTACCGGGCATGTTAGAGACAAATCCACCCTTATTTTCAATGCTGTCGCGCTCGGCGTTGGGCTCGTGGTCAACGGTCAACGGTATAGCATGCCCCCTTCTAGAAAGGACCCCTCGTGAATCTCCCACATTGGCTACCCACAAATGTCGACCGTTTATAAGTATAGCGGTTACAGCTGTGGACCCACCTCTACCAAGGTCGGGATTGTGTGTTAGAATAGCTCGGTCAGTTCTCTCGTAGGCTTTAGTAATTGATGTGCTAGGGTCTGTCCAAAATTCGTCCTGTATTTATCCGACAAAATCATATTACGCGTGTAACAAGAATTGAAAAATAATGAGAGCAAATGAATCAAGTGAAATTGGTGCCAATTTATTTTTTATATATTTCAAACTTCAAAATATAATTGAGTTTATTGCATTTAGTACCCCATGTGTTATATCGAATTGCTTAAAAAAATCCTTGTTTTATAAATATTAGCAAAAAACCTCCCCATGATGCATTTTTTTGGCACACAACTCCCTAAATGGTGAGTTTTTAAGGAGTAGTTTGCTAAAAAAATTGTGTTACAGGGGGGATTTTGCTATATTATAATAATTAGCACATGGACATTTTTAACAATTAGAGCAAATACGGGGGAGTTTAATGCAATAAACCCAATATAATTCACTATAATTAAATGTGTATCATAAATATATATGATCCTAAAGCGAAATTGTTAGCAAGTTTAAATTTAATGAGTGATTCAAGCTTAATATTGTGACATAAAATTTCATTGCTTTCTTGAAAAGTTTCAAAAAGTTCATTGTTACTCGACTAGTAATTGAAATAAAAACGGGCAACATATTATATTTCAAACTTCAAAAATATAAGTTAGCACAATCGAAATATAAATGATCCTCAAGATAAATCGTTATTTATTTTAAAGAGTCGTTCAAGCCTAAGATTGTTGCATAAATATCTTCATTGCTTTCTTGAAAAGTTTCGAAAGTTAATTGCTCATCAACTACTAGTAATTGTAAATAAAACGGGCAACGTAGATTTCGTTCATCCTATACATGCATGCATGAAATCCTTCCGACAACGAGATATTCACGACTAGAAAAAATAATTAATATTTAATTGAGAAACGAACCTCCTTTAAGATATTGGAAAACAAATGCTTTTGTAAATAAGCTGGCACGCTGTCGCCGAGATGGCCATCGTATATAGCAAATAGCCCTAGCTCACGGCCTTGAAACTGTACAAATTTGGCAACGTGATAATCTTCCATCGGATGATTTGCCTTCCCTTTTATTAAACTAAATCCGTATTTCGCTGTTCCTTCATGGCTTTTTCCCTTGCCTGCGCTACACGAGGAACGACTTCCCTAAACAAATAAAAAAATGGAAAATTAATTAACCAAATTAGTCGAAATAACAAATGAGTAAAAGGGAATAAATGATCCAAATAATCATTGGTGGACATTGAATCTCGAAGATATTGTACTAAAAAAAACAAACATTCGAGCTCGTAATTCAAATTTATTACAGCTCGAAAACAAACCTTCGGTCCTAAGCCCTAACTACATGCTCCACAAAAAAATAAATCAAAAATACCCTCTCAATCTAGTAAAACCCTAATAAGAATTCGAAAGAATTCCATTGATCAACTAACATTTCACCAAAAATACAAAATAAATAAAATCATCACTCTCTTAAAAACAAGTCCTAAAAATTTTAAAACAGAAAAAAAATTAAATAAATTAACTCACCTGTGAGTAATTGAAACAGCATAGACTATCCATATATCTCAAAATCCTCTGCAAATCAACATCTACTTTCTAATCAGTGAAAAAAAAATTCTACCACCTGTAACACCAACACAAAGTAAAAATTAAATTAAATTAAATTAAAAAAAAAAAAGATTCTTGATCAACAATAATCACAGGCCCAATCCAAGAAAAAAAAATCAAGATTCAATTTTTATTAATCAAGAATCAAGAAAACAACTCCAAATCAAAACATGGGCATCTCAGAAAAAAAAAATTCAACTCACCGATCCACCACTCTCCAAATCAAGAAAGCAAAAGGGTGGAAAAGGGTATATATCTATTACAAGAATTCTGACTTTTTTTTGTTCTCTTAAAGAAACTACTGTACTGTTTTCAGATAAAAATAAATACAAAAAAAAAATAAAAAGGAAAAGAAATATATGTGCAGATTAGAGAGAAAGGGGAGAAGAAATCAAGCAAAAAAAATAAAAAGGGAGATAGATTCGCAGGGGGCGAAAAATGGCAGCCAAGAGGGGCAGGACTTTGGGGGGGGGAGGGGGGGGGGGGGGCGT